TCATACTTTGACCATGTTAACAGGACCTGCTAGTCTCTGGAAACAAAGGGGCCTCGTTCTTGAAAAGGTGGAGAGTCACGGAAGGAGACCCTCCACGAGATGACTGGATGCAGTGTCTGCGATTAATTCAATCCATGAGGAATATTCTTGGTATTACTCGACATTTCTTCTGTTTTAATTGTGTTGTTGTTAAATTTTTATTTTGTATTGGCTTGCTTGTGCCAGACATGGTAATGGATATCCATGGTGGACAGTGTTGGCTGGAGCTTCCCTACTAAATCAAGCCTGGAAGCAGGAGCGGCATCCACTTCCGAAATGGCTTGCTTCCAGAAACTCTATGTATGAACAGTGCTCAGGCCTTTTGTTCATAGGGTCGCTATGAGTCATCTACGACTTGACGGCACCTAACAACAATATCAGCTTCTTTACAAAGTTCGTATATACTGTGTTTCACACTATTCTTCATTCACCTTGTGTTTCATACAATTATTCCCACTCATCATATTTTATAAAATTAATCGACACTGAACTGTGTCCCCCCAATGCCTAGTCTTTGATGACCTCCGCCAGATCATTCCCATTTCTTTTACCGATCTCTTCCACTACTCACCAAATTGTGCGACACTATGATTTCTCCCCTGCCTATCCTCACCCCTCTGTTCCTACCCTTTCCTCTGGGACTGTGGTCTTCAGCACAGCAGACACTATGGGATGGGGCAGGATCTGGTACTGTATATGAGGTCACTTAATGACAATTAAGAGTAACACCAAGCTACTAAGCCCTACATTGGATTCAGTCCTTCAGACACAGGCTTCTAATCAATGCCATAAATCTAAGGCCTGTACATTCTTTTAGAACTCACCCTCCTGGCTCAATGAATTCTCCGAATTCCAAGCCTGTCTCATCTAAACTGCCTCCCAACTTATCTCAATTTAGTCTACTCCACTGAGTCCCAGAGATCAATTTTTTACCAGGATACAATTAGTTAGTACTGGTCATTTTCTTTAAAAAAAATTTTATATTGATTTGCATACAAAATTTGTATACAATTTGTATACAATGTTTTCCACACTTTCCTTGTTTTATGCAATCATTCTCCCATGTATTGTGTTTCAGCATCACCACCGAACTATGCCCATGTACTAATCCTGCCCATGTACTAATCCTTCTTTTCTTAGTAATTCAATGTTCAAGATGAAAATGGCTTTGTTTGAGATAAAGCTGGTTTACCTGCAGGTCACGTAATGTTGTCTCGTGAGATCGCGCATCTCCTTCGAGAACTGAGCAGCGGACCAGTTTCTCTTGTTCTTGCTCCAGCCACACTTCAAATGCTTTCAGCTCCCTCTGATACTCCTGGTGCAGGCGAACCAGTTTTTCTGACTTGGTTACTGCTTCCTAACATTCGGAGACAGATAAGTAAGACAGGAACGCATTAGCACCTGCTCTGTCAATGAGCTGTCAGGATGTACTGCTGAAAACTCGAGAAAAACCACAACCACTAAATGAATGGGATGTGAACATTTTTCTTGGGAGAACGAACCTTAACCATTTATTCAGAACAACGTAAATAGTACTTCAGGATTAAAAGGACTCCTAAAATTGCTTTATTGAATTCACAACTTGATCTCTGATAATCTTATGAAATGTAACATAAGTCATACCCGAAAAAAATGAATTGTATTTACTTTTCATGAGAAAAACACTTTTGCTAAGAAAGAAAATGGAAATTTACTTGGTGCCTTCCATGACGTCTTGGTAGACAGGCTCATGGTAGATTTGGTTTTTAATGTACCTCATTTAATAAATTAAGGTTTGCTCTGAAATTACTTTTTAAAAGAATTTCTTTTCAAGGTCTAAAGAATGATCAAAGAGATACTGATTATTCTTTCCTGCCTTAGAAAATTATTCTCACCACCGAGAATCTAACGCTGTTATGAGCTTCATTATCAAACTACACACACTTTTTCTTCAATTGTGGAATTACTAGGAATTTTCAATAGCAAATTCTTTTACTTCAATAGCTTTTGTACAATACTACTATTAGCAGGGAGATCTGGTGGCCTCGTATGGAGGGAGTAGCGCTGCTAAGTGAGTCAGGAGGCACCTCGCCGGTGGTTCAAATTCACCAGCCAGTCTATGAGAGAAAGATAGGCAGTCCCCTCCGATGCGATTTACAACCTCTAAAAATCCACTGCAGGGTGAGATGAGAATGAGTTCTGATGCTGCACAGTGAGTTAGTTAGATTTTAACAATATTTGCAGAGTTTGTTCCCAGTGGTACACTTAAAGTTTTAAAATGCCTTTCTTTTGCTCTATTTTGTTTATTTTCATGTGCCTCTCATTCATGAAAATAGCCATGTCCTTAAATCTAGCTCTGAACACTGCTGCTTGGGCAGTGTGGAGCCCTCTCTGTGTCTGTGAAGCTTACCTTGGCCCTGGTCTGTGTAGAGCCTGGGAAGCATGCTTTATGCTTTGGCTCTGGTCAGTGTAGAGCCCAGGGGAGTGTACCTTGGCCCTGGTCATTGTGGAGGCTTGGGAAGCATATACCTTGGCCCTGGTTAGTGTGGAGGCCTGGGAAGCTTACCCTGGCTCTGGTCTGTGTAGAGCCCTGGGAAGCGTACCTTGGCCCTGGTCAGTGTGGAGCCTGGGAAGCATACCTTGGCTCTGGTCAGGAAGTGTATGCTGGCCCTGGTCAGTGTGGAGCCTGGGAAGCGTACCTTGGCCCTGGTCTGTGTGGAGACTGGGAAGCGTACCTTGGCCCTGGTCAGTGTGGAGCCTGGGAAGCGTACCTTGGCTCAGGTCAGGAAGTGTATGTTGGCCCTGGTCAGTGTGGAGGCTGGGAAGCGTACCTTGGCCCTGGTCAGTGTAAAGCCCTGGAAAGCGTACCTTGGCCCTGGTCTGTGTGGAGCCCAGGAACATACCTTGGCCCTGTCTTGGATTGCTCGGTAGCGCTCCTGCAGATCTTGGAGTTCTAACTGGGTGACGTAGTGCTCTGTCATGCCAGCCCTCTTGACTTCAATGGTCTCCAGCAAGCTGCTGTGACTCAGCACTTCTTCATTCAGCAGCTAGCAAGCAACAACATAAAGAGTTAGTCTGTGCACCTCGGAACAATGGCACTGCTGATGTTAGGGCAGTTTAACTACACTCTCCTTGGGAGAGGGATAGACATCTCCTGCTGTGTGCTTTGTTGATTTTAGGGAGCTCTGGTGGCCTAGTGACAAGAAGCTGCCCTGCAATCCCAAAGGCACTTGGTTAGAAGCCAATCACTGCTGCATGGGAACAGTATGGGCAATCTCTTCCCTTGTGATTAATAGCCTCTGATCACCCATGGAGGGTCAGCTATGGGATGGTTCTGGCTCGACAGTCCATGACAATAACATTATCAAGCGGGGTCAGAGCCTGGAAAAGCCAACAACAGAGAGGAAGACCTTGTTTTACTAGATTATGCTGATGCATGCAATCACAAGAATGAGGCAGAGTCAAGAACCAGAGACTCAGTGAGGAGGGAGAAGGGTGGGTGAGTGATGGAGACAGACTGGCAGTGCCCAGGACCACGGGCATAAGCACCGCAGAGATTGTGAGGACGGGGCAGAGGATGAGGCGAGGTTTCATTCTTGTGTACACAGAGCAGCTATGAAGCAGAGGCAACTGGATCACACCTAACAACAATGTATCTGTGTACATATACAGATACATACTTATGTGCACGTATTATGTGAGGAGATGTTTATGGGTGAAATTGGTTGAGATTTCTCTTTTTTCTGTTGAGATTCTTACAAACCAGGTGATGGTGACAGACCCTGTATTGTAGGCCAAGCCCATAGGAGCCCTTCAGCAGGGTGGCAGGAGATGTCTTTGCATGAAGATTACAGTAGATGGAGACAGTCAGGGTCTGTGGTACCACATTAACTCATTAGATGAAGAAAGACAACCAGGAAGATACATTCTGAGATCAAATCAGGACAACTTCCTGTGTGATGCAAGGTGAGGCTGGGAGAGGTGGCACTGGCACGATGAGGCTTTAATCATAGACTCCTGAGTGTGGGAGATCTAAATTAACTGATCTCAAGACCAGAGGAAAGTAGAAGGTTGAGAGATGAAGACAGCAAATATTGCTTACAGTATAGAAAGGTTGAATTAGAAAAGGCTGTCCAACAATGGTCATGTATCTGAAAAATTGGCTGTGGCCTGGGTTATAAAAGCAAGGTCTGCAGGGAGTTCTGGTGGCCTAGTGGCAAGACGCTGCACTGAAATCCCAGAGGTACACGGTTAAAATCCACCAGCTGCTCTGCTGGAGGAGGGGGCAATCTCCTCCTGTACCAGTTGGATCTGATTTGACGGTACACGTAAAAATAATACAATAAAAAAAAAAGCAAGGTCTGCAAAGCTATCCCTGCAAAGGATACTATTTAAAGAATTTTTCTTTTACTTTTCAAAGAGAAGAGTGTACTGGGTGCAAGGGGGACAAGGAGAAAAGTGCAACAATGAATGAATGGAAATGAAATCCAAAGTCTCTGTAAATTTTCCATTAAGATTAATAATAATAATAATTAAAAAATGAAAAAGTGTTGAACATGCCTTGACAATAATAATAATAACAACAAAAATGTCTAAAAGGTATAAGTGCCATTTTACTCCTGTAGTAAGACAATTAAGAAATTATACAAAGAATCCAAAATAATGTAATGAAAATAAGGTATGTTTTACTTTTTAATAGATTCCATGGTCAGGTTGTCAAATTCTATATGGTCTGTATCATTTAACATGGATCTATCTACTTGGTGTCCAATGGGGAGAAATTTTTCACTTATTGAGTAACAAATCACAAACCAAAATCTGCCATAAGAAGTAATTAAATGGAAATCAGAATTACCAAGTAGCTCTGATTAGACAGTCTTTGGCACGTTGTGCTGGTAACCAGAATTCAAGGGAAGAAATAGGGAAAGTGTGATTACATTGTGGATATTGAAATTTATGTTAAAGAACAAAATATATATGTGTGGTTGAATGAAATATTAATTTGTTTTGTAAATGTTCACTTAAATCACAAGAAAAAAGAATAAAAGAATTAGAAATTATAGTGCAAAGTAAAATTAACTTCTCTGGTCAGCCCCGGCATACAACTAATTGCATTTCCACATTGCAGCAATGGGCTTGAGTGTGTCAGATGATGAGGATGGCACAGGATAGGACAGGGTTCAGATCTGTTGTACATGGGGTCACTATGAGTTGTGCTTGACTTGACAGCACCGAACAAGAACCACGTAACCACACAGCATCCTAAAAGCTCTGTTGGCTCTGTGGTAAGGAGTTGCACTGCCAACTCAAAGGTAGGAGGTTCAAATTCACCAGCTGCTCCATAGGAGGAAAATGGACAGTCTCCTCACATGTGATTTACAGCCTCTGGAAGTCTGCTGGAAGGTCAGGTATGAGTTGGACCTGACTCAACAGCTCGTGACCATCACCACAAGAACATGGTATCCCAAGAGTCACTGTGTAATGCAAAAGGTTTATGTGCTTGGTCACTAAAGGAAAGGTTGGAGGTTCAAATCCACCAAAGGCATCGGGGAAGAAAAGCCAGATAATTCAAAAAAATTAAGTCATCAGACACCCTATGGGAGACACCTCTACTCTGACAAATATGAGGCTGCAAAGCATGAGGATTAACTCCAACAACTGGGCTATGATCCTGGAGCAACCTGGAGCGGGGAAATGTGATGGCTGGGCAGGTCCGACCCTAACCTTGGCTTTTCCGAGAGCAGCCGTCTTCTCGCGCAGCTCGGCACACTGCCGCTCGGACTCAGTTATGCTGGCTTCCACGCCGTCCATCCAGTTGGAGAACTGCCGGACGTCATCCTGATAGCTCGTCCACTTGGAGAGGGCTCCTTCGAGTTGGCTGAAAGGATTGTAAAGAGCAATGTGGGAAAACAAGCAGTTTCAGAAGTTCAGCATCTATCACTGCACCTGCGGTGTGCCCCCTCCAGCCTGGAGGCAGGGAGGATATGGCCAGTGAGGACAGGACATCCAGACCTATTGAATCTGAGCTGGAGGTCTCAGGATGACAAGGCAAGGGCAGGGAGTCCAAGGTGAGATGCAGAGGAAGACTGGGACCAGGTACCTGGCCTGCTGAGTGCCAGGTCACTCAGGACCCCATGGGGACATCATGAGACATCCTTTCAGGGGTCTTGTCAGGAACTCAGACCTGGGCACAAAGAGAACCCATAGCTAAAGTGCTAAAAGGCCCTTGCTGGGTGGGAGATGTAGGGAAAGAAAGACAGACTAGAATAAGGGAGGAAGAGCTGTGGAAGGTGTAGCTCCCCTGTGTGAGATCTGACGATGAGAAAACCACTGTGTAAAAGAAGGAAACATTTTCTGAGCTGTTCTAAATAAGAAAACTTGATCATTTCTCTTACAGATAAATCAAGCACTTTTCTCAATTGGAAATTCTAGTCCAGCCAGATGTAGCCTGGGAAGAAAGGCCTGGCAATCTACTTCTACTTCCAAAAAGGCCAACATTGACAACACTGTGCAGCAAAGTTCTCCTCCAGCACACACGGGGTTGTCATGAACTGGAATCAATTCAACAACAACTAATCTTTACTTCTAGTCATGTACACGTTTCACGCTTAATACAATTCATCTTTACGTATTGGGTCATTCTGAGAGCCGTTCTACTAGTTCAACTACTACTATATTCATCTACCATTTCTGTTCATGGCCAATGGGACTTCCATGGGCCAGATGGTGCATTCTTTCTCTGGTTTCTGGTGCCCACGTGGCTGGAGGGCAGGGGAAGCATGAAGTCCCACAGAATTACGGCCTTGGGGACAATCCTCAACTATTCTCCTCAGTCATAGGACCTTGTTTACAAACTCACTAGCTTCCATCCTCTTGGGAGAAGCTGGGAGGCCCATGATCTACATAGGCTCCCAAAATGCACAAGCTGGATTAAGCTCTGGCCGTGCAGTAGGTTATCTATCGGGCTGCAAATGGAAAGGTTGACAGTTTGAACTCATCAATTATTTCTAGAAAGAAAGATGAAGCCGTGTATATTCGACAAGATTTACAGCCTTTGGAAACGAAACTCAATGGACGCTTGCTGAACACCTGACCTCACTTCATGGCTGTGGGGTTTTGGTTCGCCGACTTCAGGCACCGAGCTGTGGGCTCAGATGACTAACCCAATTTCAACTTGCTTAATGTCTATCACATCTTTCGTCCCTGTCTAGCCTTCTGTTTCTCCCTCCCGCCTCTTACTGGTGTTTCCTGGCTTCACTTCTCAAAGAAACACTGTTTTCATTAGATGCCATCGAGTCAGCCCCTAAGTCACGACAGCCTCACATCCAATGAGGTCAGAACAAATACTGGGAGCCATGTAGGACTTCACTGGCTAATTTTCAGCAGTAGATTGCTGCCTTTTTTCCTGGTCCATCTTAGCCTACCAACTTCTCTTGATGGGGGATATAAATATGAGAGATATTGGTCAGGAATTGAACCTGGAATCCCTTCAAGAAAAGCAAATTTTTCCCACTGACCAAACGCAGCCCTCATTCCTCCTATTTGCTTTCAATTGCTATATCTTAATTTCATAAAACCTCTAATGATCTTTACATTTTTAAAGTGGCAAACAATAAAAAAGAAATGCATGCAGTCTTAACTCAGGCTCAGCATTGCCATTTAACCTACATGAAATATTATATCCCAGTTTCATTTGCTCTAATGAAAAAAGAAGGAAAGAACCTAGAACATTCTGTTGCCAAGGTCTCTGCTGACATTGAGCAAAGGGCTTTGGGCACACGGCTTCCATGGTGTTTACCTTTTACAGCGAATCCCGGAAGACAGCAGGGACGCCCACATGTCCTTGACGGTCTGCAGTTGCTGCTGGATGGCAGGGACACCTTCCGGAGAGGTGTTCTGAAGGACAGACTCGCCTCGGGTCACTATCATCTTCATCTGGATCTCTTTTTCCTGTTTCACTGACATTAGAGCCTGTAAAGTCAAACAGAGAAGTCCTTTGTCACTTACACAGCTGACATTCCTGGCGTCAGTGTCTCAGAGCTTTAGTCCCTGGGCAGGGAGTTTTGATGGTGGACTCTACAAAGAGTTACACTGCCCACCCAGACACCACAGGTCTCCAGCTGTTCAAATCCAGCAGCCACTCTTCAAGAGAAAAATGAGCATTCTCCTCTTTTGTGATTTATTGCCTCAAAAACCCAACGAAGGATCAGCTAGGAGTCATTTCCAACTTGATGCAAGGAGGTGGTTTGTCGTCGTCTTCTTCTTCTTCTTCTTCTTCTTCTTCTTCTTCTTCTTCTTCTTCTTCTTCTTCTTCTTCTTCTTCTTCTTCTTCTTCTTCTCATCACTGGGTAAACAGATGTCAAGTTAGGGGTTCAAGGTCACCCAGAGGTGCCTCAGAAGAAAAGCTGGGGACCTGCTTCCAAAAGGCCTGCGCCATAAGGCAGTTTCCTTCAAGGCACATGGGGGTAGCACAAGTCAGAACTGACTGATGTTTGGTCCTGGAGGCAGCCGTGTATGTATGACCATGTATGGAGCCCGGATATTCTCTGGCTTCTGGGGTGCAGGTGATCGAGTCACTTGTTGATGATCACTGGCTACTATTTACTGGCACCTGGGGCTCTCCACAGGGCCTGGACTTGGCAAGACTCAGTTCTCCCCCAAATAATTCTTGAATTCTCCTGGAGAACCATTTTAATGTTTTTAACAAGGGGGGGGGGAATCTACATGTCATAAATATTGAAAGGTCACAAGTTCTAGGGTTCACAAATGTTAAGGTCTCTAGTACATAGACCTATTGTTGTTGTTGTGTTGTTGTTAAGTGCCATTGAGTTGAATATAGATCATAGCAACCCTGTGAACAACAGACTTGCACTCTATCCTATCCAACACCATCTTTATCATCCCCGACACTGGAGTCCATTGCCAAAGACAAAGCATCAGTCCATCTCATTGAGGCTCTTCTTCTCCTTCACCAAACCTTCACCTTTCCAAGAGTGATGTCCTTTTTCAAGGAAGAGCCTGTCCTAACATGACCAAAATATGTCCAGGCCTCAGACGCATAGCAGGTGATCAGAAAGACTGTGGCCTGAATCAGGAACACCATAGACCTATACTGAAAAACCAAACCAAACCAAAAAACAAAAAAAAAAACAACAACCACCCCACAACAACCTGAAACAAAACCTCCCAAATTCATTCCCATTGAATTAGATCTCACAACTGACCATCCCAGGGGATTTTAAGATGCTGTAAATTTTACCATAGGCGATTACTCTTCCTCCTCCCCCCATGGAGAAGTTCGTGCATTTGAACACTCACTTTTTGTGTCTCACCATCCTTGCCTCGAGTCCATTCTGGTTGCACTTTTTCTAACAAAAATATGTCTGTTCTTTTGCCAGTCTGTATTCTGCTCAATGAGCTCTGGTAGCCTAGTGGTAAGGGGTGGTGCTGCCATCCCAATGGCAAGCTACTCTTCACCAACACCACAACTCAAAGGCATTGACGCTCCTCCGATATTCTTTGTTCACTATGCAACTTTCACATGCATATAGTGACTGAAAAATGCCATAACTTGAGTCAGGTTCACCTTGTTGTTGTTACATGTCACTGAATTGCCTGTAACTCATAACGACCCTACATACATTAGCTCTGAACATTGTGATATCCTGAGCATCCTGAACATTGTCATATGTCATTACCTCTGACAGACCTAATCTCATATCTTCAGGCTTTGAGTCAATCCATCGCATCCTGGGGTTTCATCTCCTGCATTGTGCCCCCCTCTTCCAAGCATGATGTCCCTCTCCAAGAATTATTCCCTCCTTGCAACAAAGTATGTCATATAGCACTTCAGAATACCTGCCTCCAGGATGCAGCCTGGTTTCACCCTCTCCAGGACAGACCTGTATGTTGTCCTGGAAGTCCATGGTATGTTCAACAATCTTCTCCAGCACCACAACTCAAAGGCATCAATCCTTCTATCATTCTTAGTTATACTCTAGCTGTCATGCAGAGCAAGCAACTGCAAAGACCATGGCCTGGATAAGAAACACTTTAGCTTCCAGACTGACATCTTTATACTCGGTACTCTTAGAGTGGTCCCTGACAGTAGACTTTCCCAAAACAATTTGTCTTTTGATTTCCTGACTGCTTGTGCCGAGAGCGTTGACTGTGAAACTAAGCTAAAGCTAGCAACGATTCCAGTCTCTTCTCGGATCATAATGCTGCCAATTGCCCCAGTGCTGAGACTCTTCCTTCTTTTGATGTTGATCAAAGGTGCACCTTGGTCTTAAAATCACATCCTTGCTCTTTAGCACTTTAGAGATGTCTTTTGTAGCAGATTTACCCAAGGCAATACATTTTTTGACTGTTCCACATTTGATTCCAAGAGTGTGGATTATAAAAAAACTTTAAAAAAACAGATTTTATAAAAAAGAATGGAGGAGTAATTTAAGAACATAGAGAAAGTAAAAAATAAATGGTTAAAATCAGTGAAGTTTCTGGGGTCCTTTTTGTTTTGTGTTACTGTTCTTTTTCTTCCTCAAAAGTGGGTGGCTTTGAGCCTTAGACTAAGGGTAAAGGTGGATGCCTGCTTGAGGGAGTGACTTTAAAATCATTTAGGACCTATTCTCTTAAAGACACAACAATCATTTGTCTATTTGCTGTTCTGAACAACTTGGAGTTGCTGTGATGATAAAAACTATTCCATAGTCTTGTCAAACACCATAATATTTACCCATTATATACAATGGTTGCATGTGCTTCAAGATGGATTCATAATGGGAAGCAGGAGTGGCATCCACTTCCTAAACTAGATGCCTCTGGAAACTCTACAAACTCTCTTATAAATGTACATGTTGTTGTTGTTGTTGTTGTTATGTGCCGTCGAGTCGCCTGCGACTCATAGCGAACCTATGCACAACAGCCCTAAACTCTGCTTTGTCCTGTGCCAATAGCACTGTCTCTGACACTCCCAACCCAATTATCCCAGTCACTGAATCAATCCACCTCATAGAGGGCCTTCCTCTTCTGAGCTGTCCCT